TCAATGTCTTCTTCATCCTTCTTCACTTGCAAGATGGATGTCCTTTTCCACTACTTTCTTTTTTCATTAACCAGTTGATTTTTTTGATATAATGACAAGTTAGTTATTCAATTATATGCCACATGCACCTCTATTTATAACCCCACCCCATTTTGATGTATTCATCCATATCCCAACTTATTAGTATCCATTATGGAAGTCTATATTTCCAAAATCTTAGGGTTCTTACTCTCTTTTTTTTTTCTACCATTGCCAATCGTGTCCACATTACAAGTTCGTTGTAAGTACATATTCCCTTTTTTTGGAATGGAAAACAACAATATACCATTGTATTTATCATAAATTGTTTATGTAGGTGAAGGAAGTTCCATATACGAGATTATGCAGCACGAAGAACATACTTACCGTAAATGGCCAATATCCGGGGCCTACTTTATATGTTCATAAAGGAGACACCATCGTTGTAGATGTTCACAACAGAGGGAAATATAACATCACCATTCATTGGTATTAATTATCTCGAACCATTTCAACACTTCATAAATGTAAAAGAAGATTATTGTTACTCATGGTGGTGATGGCATTTTGGCAGGCATGGAGTGAAACAACCAAGAAATCCATGGACGGATGGTCCGGCGTACATCACACAATGTCCTATTGCACCAGGAGCAAAATTTAGACAGAAGATCATTTTGACAACGGAAGAAGGGACTTTGTGGTGGCATGCTCATAGTGAATGGTTGCGAGCAACTGTATATGGTGCTATGATCATATATCCCAAGTTGGGAACAAGCTATCCCTTCACCAAACCTGATGCAGAAATTCCCATCCTATTAGGTATTTTAAAAAGCATTTATAAATCCATATAAGGAAAAAAAGAAAAAGAATTTCAATGATTAAATGAAGATTCTGAATGTTTGGGATTACTTAAAATGCAGGAGATTGGTGGATACGAGATATAGTGGAGGTTGTAAATGAACTTCTTCTTTCCGGTGGAGGAGGAAACCTTTCCAATGCCTTCACCATCAATGGTCAGCCTGGTGATCTTTATCCCTGCTCTAAACAAGGTCGAACTTTTATTTTTTTAAGTGTTTATTAAAACGACATAGTTGTATAATATTTTTTTCTCTTAATTTTTTTTTTTAAAAAATGATTAATAAACCCTAATTTCTAACAGCTAAGTATAATATATACAAAAAAATGATTAATATCAGTGGCCAAAGTTTGACTTTTCACATATCTATTTTTGGGGAGAATATTTAAATTTTCATTTATTTTAGAACTAGATAAAGACCATTAGTTCCAATATCCCACACATTTGGGAAGCCTTCCGATTCAAGGGTAGATTGGCAGCACAATTATGCTTTTCTTTTCTTCTTCTTCCTTTCTTT